TAAAAGATCACTCCAAGGTCCAGATGTTTCTCTTAATAACAATGCTTTTTCTAATAAATCAAAAGTAAAACCATTTGGAAAATATGCACCAACTTCTAATTCTTCATTAAAAAATTCTAAAAATTCTAGAATCATTACGCTGTCACCGAATTTTTCATTAGGTATACTATTCTTAACTGGTGTAGCTTGTGGAATAGGAGAAAGATCTTCACATTCAAGATCCTCTCTTGGTTTATTCCATTGTCTTATATATGCAGTCAAAGCTGCTAATTTTTGCTTTTCTTCTTTTTTACGTTCGCTTTTCAAGACTCTTTCTTCTTTACGTTTTGCTTTTTCTTCCAGAGCCTTTGCTTTAAGATCTTCTTTAAATTTTCCATTCATTCTGTTTATAAATGTAACAAATTTAATATATAATTAGAAATTACAAACTATTTTTAATTTGTCATATATTATTCTACCTTGGTTTTCGAAATTTTTTTATATCTACTCCTCCTTGATTTACTTTTTTGAAAGGATCTGGTTTATCTACTGTTTTTTGTTTTACTACATCCATAGTAAGAAATTTATCTATTGATTCTTGTTTATGTTTAATAAGTTTCTTAATACGTGATGTAAAGTCTGGAGGAGGACCAGCAAATATAGTGTCAAATCGTACTTTATTAATTCCATATTTTTGTAAGACACTATCCTATAAATATACAAAATATTTTTTTATCAATATATTTAAACTATTTTTTAAATTATAATCATTAGTATACTAACTTTGATAGTCCATATTCCAGTTTCATTTTGTTCACATAACTGACGTAAAAAAATTTTATTACGCTCTTTACTGTAATGCTGCTTTCTTCTTCTCACTTGAGTTGCTTCCACTATCATAAGTTGACTAACATCAGAATCTCCAGAATCTAACTGTTCTACTTCATAACGAAATAATTTTGCAGGTGGATGATATTGTTGTTCTTGTGGATTTCTATGTAATAAACTTACATAGATAAATTACAATAATATGAATGCATTCTATATCTATAGATGATAAAGAGATCTCTACCTGTTGTTTTCTTTAGTATATTGTTTAATTTGTTGTTCTGTAGGTGCAATAACTTGAAGAACATGGCAATCACACCAAGAATCTTCTGTAAAACTTGCTTCTACCATTTCACCAACAAAGTAACGATCTCTTGCAAATTGATATACATCCTCTATCATTTCTTTAAAAGATGATCTATTTGTTTTACTGGCAAGATATAATATAGGAATACGTAACTATAATATAAAACATAATATCAATGAATTTAGAATTATAATATATCTTTATATATCTTTAAATCTATAAAAAAAAATTTATATCATACCTCCATAGGAAATTCTTTAAGGCTCCTTTTTGCATTTTCTTCACATTGTAAAGCTTCTTCATAGGTCATATTTGTTCTGCCAGTTATACTACATGACCATATAAGTGAATTACATAAAATAATTCTCTCACAAAATTCACTGTAATCACAAAACATATTTTAAATTTAATTTAATGTAATTGTTATTATTGATAATAATTAATAACAATTAATATTTTAAAATTAATAATATCTATTTATATCTAAAAGTTAAAAAAATAAAAAATAAAATGTTTAAAAAATATAAATTCAAATATATAATTAATTGATAATGTAAAATTAAATAAGATAATTTAATCTTTCAAATGATTATCTGGTATTTAAACAATGACAATAAATATAAATAATCTAAAGATTTTTTATAATGTACTTTTTAATTTTATCTATTTAGTACAAAGCAAAATTATAAAAACAGAACGTTGATATATTGATATACGTATATTTATAAGAATAGAAATGAATGAGCAAAATAAATTAAAAAAATATAAAGTAGTTATGATTAAAAAATCGCATTGACAAAATTGCAAAATATATTTCAAAGTGATCTCAGCTGTCATGGTCTTACTTATAGTCCTTGAAAATTTCATTCGTAACCTCACAGTGAAAAACTTCATCATCATCTTTAAAATCTGAAGAAACGTGAAGACGTTGAAATGGCTGTTTACGAAGTAGCGGCATATCAATCTATTAATATATCAATGCAGTTTTCGTTCACGTTTTTAACAAATTACAAATCAATTCTGCGTCAGTGCTATACTTTTCCGGAACCGCCAGGCACATGCACCTCTAACTTTCACAAAATCGCTTTAAGTTTTAAATGTTATCAAATTTCTATTAAAATTTTTGTAATTTATTTTCTTTGAAATTTTGTCTATTCATACGTGTTGAACGTAAAACTTTGATACCATTTCACGAAACATTTCGAATCTCATGACAAAGCATGATTTAACGGTGCTTGTAGAAGCGCGCATTCACATCTGGCACCTTAAAACCGGAAACTAATGAAAAGAATAGCGTTACCAATCTAAACTTATTATTCATTAGCGCGGGAAATAAAAATAAACATGTAATAATAATTAATATTTTAATATATTTGAAGAAATTCAATTCAACAAACTTTTTATTATCTTTTATTGTTGATATAATTTATTGAAAAATTATGTTATTTTTCAAATGATATAATTATTATAGAAAATATAAAAAATATTTTACATTGTTTTAAAGTTGGTAAATAGTATCCAATCTAAATATTAAACTTATTAAATTTGGCGCGAATTATTTTTATCAAGTAATCAAATATAAATAAAAATAATTATATTTTATTTATATAATTATGATTCAATTTGATTGAATTTAGTATTTTATTATCATAATAAAAATAAGAAAAAAAATCTTAACTTATTTTTATATAATTATATTTTTATATAAAATACAATAAATTATACATAATAAATGTTTATAGATATATATACATATATATAATTATATAATTTATATTTATATTATTTATTTTTATTATAATATGCATGTATAATATAATATAATATAAATAATTATTTTAATGTATTTTTTTTGTGAAAAATTATTCTAACCATTCTGTAATATATTGGCATTTTGTAGGTGTAACATCACCAACATCATAGCAATTTTTTCTTACCTATTTTTAAATGTTTCATTATATCAATATATAAAAATATATCATCCAATAAACAAAAAAATAAATAAATAAATAAAGTAGCTTACAGGACAAACACCACAAGTAGATTTAATTAATCCAGGTGGATTTAATAAAGGTTCTACTGCTCTATATAAAGTATTTCCATCACCTGAAAGAGTACGTTCTACTTTTCCATCATAAACTAAAGTATTTAATATCATCTCCAAATCTTCAACTGATAATTTTACCTATAAAAATTATTAATATANATATATATATATATATATATATATATATATATATATTTTTAATATTCAAATATATAATTTAAAAAATTTACAATAATCATTCAAACCTTGCTTATTCCTAAATCAGAAATAAATTTCCATACTTCTTTAGATGAAGCAAATGTAATATTTCTAGCCATTATTGGTCCTCCGCCACAAGAATTCATTTGCTCTTTTTTTTTTTCTAAAAATCTATAACATTGTTGATTAAGGACATCAACAAATTCTGCTTCAAAATCTTGATCTTGGTACCAAGCACCACCAGTTACAGATGTATCTGGTTCTAAATTGTATAACATATATACTTTTTTTTTACTTGCTGCAACAGACTTAACAGCTTTGATAAATTTTTTAGTTTCTAAACTTTTTAAAATTTTATTTAATTGAGTTGGCATTAAATTAGACTTAAATCTTATATCACGAATCCAAATTCCTTTATTGCCTGCTTCTTCAATAATAGTATATACAATCTTTTCTTCATTATCTGCACCTTTAGCTATTTTTGCTTTAGAAGGATCTTTCAAACGATATAACAATGAACCACCTTGTTTAAATAAATCAAAATGACCTTGAGATAAAAGTTTATTTATAATTTGAGCTCTTTGAGCAGGTTGTAAATCTGGCATTTCTATAGTTAAGTCTTTATCAGAAATTCCTTTTGGTCTTGCTTGTGCTAATGCAATAATTCTGCAATTTAAAACATCATATTTACATATTTTAATTTTTTTCATTCATAAATTTCATTTATACAATAATAAAATATAATATTTTTGTATTTATATAATTATATTATAATAATTATATATAAATAATAATCATAACCTATTAAGTAAATGTATAAAAAGTTTAGTAATTAGTAATTTTTGGTAGAAAAAATTAAAACTTACTTTTGTTCAATTGATTCATATGAATTTATATCTGCATTACTTGCTTCTTGTTCCTTTGATGTACTAGGTTCGTTCTCCATTTAATTTTTTTTTATGTTATTCGTATGATTTACTTGACTATTTTTGATATTTGTTAGGTTATATTTTCATGTTTTCATTGTTTATTCTATAACAATGAAATTTATTATATCAATTTAAATATTATTTTAAAAATATGGAAAACTCTATAAATGAATTGGATATCGAAGATTCTTTGAAAATTGCTTCTAAAGAATGGAATCGAATTATTGATGCTGCTACAAAGGTATTATGCATATTTCATTAATATAAAATTTTTATCATAATGCATGGGATTTTTAAATATATTTTTTAAAGGATGGTTATAGAGAAGGAATAGAAGATGGATCAAATTCTGTTTTCCAAGAAAGTTTTAATAATGGATACAAAGAAGGTTTTCAAATAGCTTTCATTCTAGGAAAATTTAAAAGTTTATTAAATATTATTTCACGAGATGTTAAACATCCACAAAATATAAATGAAATTCTTGATAAAATTAAAAGAGGTATATGTCATATATGTGTAGCAGAATTTCAGAATATAAATGATCAAAAAATTTTTTCCGAAATTATTAATGAACAGAGATCATATTCATTGAAAGTTCTTCAAATATTGTATCAATATTTTCAACCATATGTAAAACAATTAAATATTAGTGAGTCAGATATATTAAAAATTCAAAATTTTTCAGAATTAAAAAATAATTAATTTACTAGTATAAAGTTATTTGTATTTTTTATTAGCATGTAAAGCATCAAATTTGAATCATAAATAAAAAACATTAATTATAATATTTTTATAAATATAATCCTTCGGGAGATCCTTCCTTTTTCCGATATAAAACGCTTTCTTTAGATTTTTTAAAATCATCGCTAGTAACTTTCATACGGCGTTCACGTAATGCCATTAAACCAGCTTCGGTACATATAGCCTATAAAACAAAAAAAATATTTTTAATATATTAAAATTAAGAAATATTTAAATGTTATTTATTTAATTTTTTCATTCAAACATCATTTAAATAATATTTTACCTTTATATCTGCACCTGAAAGATCATCTTTAGCCATAATTAATTCTGCTAAATTTACATCAGGTGCTAAAGTCATTCTACTAGTATGAATGCTGAATATTCTCCGTTTTGTTTTTTCATCGGGCAATGGAAATTCTATTTTTCTATCAATTCGACCTGGTCTGATTAATGCTGGATCTAAAGTTTCAATTCTATTTGTAGCCATTACCACTTTAACGTCTCCTCGACTATCAAAACCTAAATAAAAATAAAAATAAAAGGATATATTTTTTTATTACATATATATAACAATTATATACATTATACAAGTTATATATTATAACATAATTATATACTATTATGATCCAATTTAAAATATATTTCATACCATCAAGTTGATTGAGAAGTTCTAACATAGTTCTTTGAATTTCACGTTCACCTCCACTATTGCTATCATATCGTTTGGTGCCTACAGCATCTATTTCATCTATAAATACAATTGAAGGAGCATGTTCTTCTGCAACTCTAAATAACTCTCTAACAAGTTTAGGACCATCTCCTAAATATTTTTGTATAAGTTCAGAACCAACGACTCTTAAAAAAGTTGCTGAAGTTTGATTAGCAACAGCTTTTGCCAACAATGTTTTTCCAGTTCCTGGAGGACCATAAAGTATAACTCCTTTTGGAGGTTTAATACCCATTTCTTCATAATATTCTGGATGTGTTAAAGGTAATTCTACAGATTCCTTAATTTCTTGAATTTGTGTATCAAGTCCTAAATAATAAAATATTTTGAATATATATTTTGAATTTATAATATAATATATAATTTGAATTTATAATATGAATATATAGTATTATAAAAATTTTTAATGATAATATAATATTCCATACCACCAATATCTGCATAAGTTTCTTGTGGAGCTTTCTCCAACTTCATTACTGTAACCATAGGATCTGTATCATCTCCTAAAACTCCAACAACAGCATGAACTTTATGATTTAATAAAACTGAACATCCAGGTTCTAACTGATCCTTATCCACAAATGATAAAATTGATACATAATGTTCAGAACCAACAGATGTAGATACTATTGCATGATTATCATCAATTATTTCTTCTAATGTTCCTACAGACATTGGAGTTCCACGTAAGTCATCAACTTTAGATCTTTCTTCTTCATTTTTCTCTTCTTGTGGTTTTAATCTTTCTTGATTTCTAATAAATTCCTCTTCCATTAATAAATAATCTTTTATACGTTCTAATTTTAAAAGTTTTAATCTGCAACGTGTATGTGGTGTAACTTGTGGTAACTTTAAAGCAGCATCAGGTCCTTTTGTACGTCTTTTCTTTTTACCCACTCTTGTTGGAATAGGTGGTTCATATTTCTTTTTTTTATCTTTATCATCCTTCTTGTCACCTCCTGTACCACCAGTACCAGATTGATTTTGTCCCTATTATAATAATTATCATATATGAAGATAAGTTCAATTTTTAATATTTAACATTTTTAATATAATTTTAAAAATTGAAAAAAAATTTAAAAATTGGAAGAAAATAAAAAATTTATATATTATTGAAAAAAATAATTAGTATATGCGAAAGTTTAATTTTCAGTTTAGTTAGAATAAGCAAATTAATATAAGATAACCTATAATATCAAATAATAAAAGTATAATTATTTAAATATAAATATGGGTAAAAATTAAATATGGGTATAATTAATATAAATCTTATTAAACATTTTATTTTATATATTATTTAAAAAGTATTAATTTATATATAGTTAAAGAAATCTTAGAAATTTACCATTTTACTTTTTGATCATACGAATCGAAACAGCGAAGTCATTTCCGTTATATAAATACAATCGATTACAATTTCGAGATCTTTGTATTATATCGAAATAATTCGATACACATATTAATTCGATAAATATATTAATTAAAAGATTGTAAGCTAGAAAATCAATAATAAAAACAAATAATTTTTAATTTTAATTTTATAACAAATTATATTATTGAAATTTTTGAAAGCAATATAATATAATATAATATAATAATAATATTAAATAAGCTTATTTTTTTATTTCAGAACAATAGCTTACATATTTAACAATACTTATTGATAAATGCAAAGTAAAATTAAATCTTTTTAAAAAAAAATATAAAAATTTTTGTTTAATCCCATATGTACAAAAATAACATAAATGATGAAAAATTATGTAAATAATTTTTTTCTTGAAGAACTTTATATGACAAATAATTTGTATGAATATAATATTGACAACATATAGATTTGTGAAATTTTATTTTAATATTTAGATACATTTATCTTTGCAATAAAGTATCTTCTTCTATCTTTTCAATCTTATCGCTTCTTTATAACGTCTCATTCAAAATCATTCAAAAATAATAACGATTAAAAATAGTAAAACAATTGTTACATGTACTTGTTTTAAAAATATAATGATTTGTTTACAATTTTTACATCATATATAATTAAATAAGAATATAAAAAGTTTTTAAAGAATATAATGAAAATTTTAAATTTAATAATATTCAACCAATAAAAATAAATATCTATTATATATTGTATATATGTATGTTTTTAAGTAAAAACCTTCATATTATTATTAATTTGCTTTTTTCTTCAAATTACTGTGTAACGTATTTTAAGTTTAAGTCACAAAAAGTTTAAAATATACATTTTTTTTTTATACCAATGAAGATTTTTTATATTATTCTTGCTTAGATTTAAAAATCTTATAATATGATAATTTCCGTATCATATGTTACAGAAAAATTAATTTATATTGTTGAATGCAATACGAGTGAGTTTAATAATACTTTGTTAATAAAACAAAGTTTGTAAAAGAGAAATACATCGTGTTATTTCGTTCGCGTATAATATTTTTCTCTTTTTACTTTCATTTATCACAATGATTAATAAGTATTTAAGAATATGTTGTTTTGATGAACACAATATAATACAACGTGTACAAAATGTTCTAGATATGATGAGAGGCGTGTTTGAAGCGATTTAATAAAAATATTTACGATGCTCAAAGTCCAGCTAATATAATTCTGGGATCTTCTACAGCAGCTTTGATCTTTCTTAAAAACATCACAGCCTCACGTCCATCAATTAATCGATGATCATATGTTAAAGCCACATACATCATTGGACGAATTACGATCTAAAAATTTTATTAAAATATTTTTAATAATTATTTATATTAAAAAAAATTTTCAATGTTTACCTCGCCCTTTATTGCAATGGGTCTATCAAATACTCCGTGCATTCCAAGAATTGAGCTTTGTGGTGGATTAATAATAGGCGTTCCCATCAGAGAACCAAAAACACCGCCGTTACTTATTGTAAATGTACCACCATCCATATCTTCGACAGTTATTTTACCTTTTCTTGCTTTATCGCTTAAAGCTGCCAAAGCAATTTCAATTTCTGCAAAATTTTTATTTTCTACGCTACGAAGAACTGGGACAACAAGTCCTTTTGGTGTTGCAACTGCAACACTAATATCAACATAATCTCTATAAACTATTTCAGCACCGTCTATTACAGCATTTACTACTGGTTGATCTTTTAAAGCATAGGCACTTGCTGCAATAAATGGACTCATAAATCCTAATTTCAAGCCATATTTCTTTGTAAAGTTTTCTTGATGTAACTTGCGAAATTCCATAATACGACTATAAAAGATAAAACAAGAAAAAAATAATTAATAATTGAAAAAAAATATTAGCAATAATAATTATGATAAATATTTAACAACCTCATATCAATTTCATTAAATGTTGTTAACATAGCATTCGTATTTTGAGCTTCTTTTAATCGTTCTGCAATACGCATTCGCATTCTGTTCATTTTTACTCGTTGTTCTGTTCTGGTACCAGTTATTTCACGTGTATAATCATCAGGAGGTAATTGTACTTTTGCAGCTTCCAATGCCTAAAAATTTCCAATTGTATTTATAAATAATTATAAATATATATATTATTTAAAATATATATTATTAAAAATATATATTATAAAAATATATTATTTTTTATTATATAATTATATATAATAAAAAAAATAAATAAATAGATTTTATTTATTATTAGTTTTGTATAATTATACATACTTGAGCAGGTTTAATTGTAGTAACTGGTATAGATACTGTAGGTCCTTGCGGAGATGGCGGTCGAGCTGCTGGAGGTGGTACAATTGCAGAAGGTGTTGATGGTAATGATGATGATGGGGGTAATGGTGATAATGATGGTGATAGTGGTGATGGTGGTGGTGATGGTGCTGGTGGTGGTGGTGGTGGTGGAGGTGGAGGTGGTGGTGATGGTGGTGATGGTGATGGTGGTGGTGCTGCTGTTATGCTAGGTGGAGGACTTGGAACTTTTTCAACAACTTTAGGTGCTGCCGATGCTCCATCAGTAGCACCAATGTCAATAACACATAGCTTCTGTCCTGACTTTACTGTTTGACCATCTTTGGCAAAAATCTCTTTTATTATACCAGAACCTGGTGCTGGTACAGGAACTGAAGTCTATTTAGAAAATATCATTCATTACAAATCAATTATATAATATGTATATTATTTTTAAATTCTTTTTTTATTTACTTTACCTTATCTGTTTCAATTTCACATAAAACATCATCTTCTTTAACCAGATCACCAATTTTTTTATCCCACCTAACATCTCCTTCACTTACACTTTCTGCAAATGGTGGTACTACAACTTCCTTCATTTCCCCTATTATATTCAAATATACACAAATTTTATAAGATCAATTTTGAATATATCTATATTTTTTTTGTTCAAAGTTTATTACATAAGTTTACTTACATAAAGTAGATGTTGAATGAATATATCTTGTTTGGTCTATCCAACAATGAAATTTCTTATATTTTGTATATCTAGAGATGTGCAAATTAAGATTTTTTCAAAAATAGTTATTTTTATTAAAAATAATTTATTAAATATATTAAAAAATATATATTTAAAAATAATATAAAAATAATATTTAATTTTTGAAACATATTTTTTAACTTACAATCGGGAGTTCTTGCTGACCACATGTTGGGTGTGGATAAATAGAATGTGCCCTACAAAAATGATTTGATACAATTAATAGTTTATGTTCATGGTTATCCCCAACGTTGATATGCCTCTCTATAAAGATAATGTTTAGATTTTCAACATAGCTCACCATTTCTTTACTATATCATCATTTTTATTTCTTACCTTGACTATATAAAGATTTCACAACCTAAAAAAAAATATATAATATTAATATATATATTTTTTTTTAAATGCAAAAATAACAAGTAAAATATTATATAAAAATTATATAAAAATATATATATTATGGTTTTAATTTATAATATTTATAATATTTATAATATTTATATATATAATATATATTATAAAAATTTTATGTATTACAATAAAAGTATATATAAAAAAAAACTATATAAAAAAATAGGTATTGGGATAATTGAATAGAAAAAAAATAGATAGAATAAATAGAAAAAAAAAAATTTTAACTTTCAATTATAGTTTGAAACTGATGAAAATTAACTTGGTTATCTAAAAAAAAAGTTTATGTCAGACAATAATAAAAATTTTATAACTTTTCATTGACAGATTATAGTTGATAGATTAAGTCATAAATCGTAACATGTTAAGATAGTATTATATAATCAATGCAATAAGTAAAGATAATATTCGACAGCTTTGATGGCAAGTTCTACTTCTAAGGATGTTAGATTCTTTTTACCCAATATGTGTCACAAATATTTCAATATTAATAATAAATGGAACATAGTTACCTTCGTTTGTGATATACTAATTCTTGTTATTACACGAGGCACAAACCGCGAACAGTTGGACAGCATCGCGGCCATCCTCGAATATGGAAAATTATAACTTAGATGTTCGTTCTTTACTCTTGCAATGATAAGGAAGCAATACAGTATAGTATAATTAGTAGTAGGGCAAGTTTGCTACGATAAATGTGCGTTCTGAAATTTGGCACTATTGAATTCTAGAAGAAATATAAAAATTATCAAAATATAAAATTATGAAATAATTATGATATTTATCAATTACAATTATGATATTTTAAGTAATTAATATAAAATTTAAACTATTTAAAATGATAATAAATTTAATATTGTAACAATGTGATTTTTTATTAGAACTAGTATCTTTTTATCAATGAATACATCATTTTTTTTTATATAAAAATTTGAGCATTATCTAATAAGAAATAAAGAAGAGTCATATAAACATTTTCTTTATATTATAATTGATTGAATTAAATATATTTATAATGTAAAATTATATATAATTTATATATATAATATTATAAAAATATTAATTATGTATATTATATTATATAAAAAATTAAAAAAGAATTACTGCAATTAAGAATAGACGTTATAATATATAATGAAACTAATATGAAGAAATTTGTTGATAAATATTGTTGAAATATATTAAAAATACTTATATCTGATTTACAATTGTCATTTAAATTTTATTAATTCATATTATTTATTTTATATTATTTCTATTATTAATTTTTTAAATTGTAACATATATTAAAAATGATATCACTTATGACTTGTTATATTAAAAATGTATACAATTAATCTAACATGTTAGTGAGTTCGTGACTGAATTTAGGTTTTTAAATATGAATAGTGAAGATGTGATTAAAAGAAAGAAGTACGGAGCGGGTTATATTGAAATATATTTATTATAAACACGATATGCGATAATATCTGAACATTAACTATCACGTGGAAAAATTCAAATTTTTCAGA